TGAGCTTCTGGGCTTGGAAACTTCTCTCCGCCTAGATCTCTGCTTTGCCCAGAGAACACCGGCCACTCGGGCTCCCTCCTCCAGAACCCTTTCCTCCGGATCCCCTCCAGAGGATGCACCGTGCTTTGCTTAGGCCCATTTAGGCTGTGACCGGGCCATATGTCCACCCTTCTGTGGCTCTCATCTGTGTGTGTGTCTTGCCTCCTAGACTGGGAACTCCCAGAGGACCAAGACCATGTGTTTAGCAGGTCTGAGAGCTCAGCACCCAGGATAAGACAGGGCACACAGCAGGTGCTCAATGAATGTGTGCAGAGGGAACATCCTGGGGGTGCGTGTGTGTGTTGTGGTGCCTGTGAGCAGCCACATGAGATGGAGGTGGTGAGTGAGGACCAGGCAGGGGATAAGATGGTGTAGGAAGGGAGAAGGGCCAGAGGAAAGCCCGGAAGCCCTTCTCTGCAGGCCTGGGTAGGAATACTGGCCTCCAATGGCCGAGGCCTCTGGAGCCCCGGCCTCCAGGTGAAGGCATCTCCCGGCAGGTAACTCCAATGGGATGTGGTCTGTGTCTGTGCTGGTTCAGTGGAATGCAGGATTGGGAGTGAGCGCACGCGCTCTTACACACCCGGGCACACTTGCTCTGAGCAGTCACACAAAGTGCCCCTCCAAGGTGTAGTTTTCCTGAGAAGTTGCCGAAACGCTTGTAAATGACACACCCCGTCTTCCCGTCGACCTTCTCCTTGGCTCTTTTTCAAGTATTTGCAAGGTGAGCCAGATTCCCCTAGAGGGCAACAGAGGGCTGAGGTGGCCCAGCAGAGGTGGAGACAGGTGACAGATGACAGTGTCTCTGTGGGCTCCTGCCCCTTAGAAATGGTGCCTGGCAGGGCAGGGGGCTATGGCAGGGTGTCTCATTTAGAAGACTGTCATGTCCCCTTAATTGCATTTCATAGAACAGATAAATAAACTGGAGCCCAGACTGGAAAAGTTCCCTGTCTACAGTCACACAGCAAATTTGGAATCTGTATCTCCAGACTCCGGGGCCAGAACTCCTTTCCCTCCAGCAGGAATGGAACAGGCTGCCTCTCCTGTGTGGGGTCTTTCTGGGCAGGGGCCTCTCTGCAGCATGGCACTGAGACCCTCTCCACCCCCACTCCTTCCTGTCTTGCTTGGTATCTACCCAGAACCCTTCCAAGCTAGGCCCAGGGAACTAGCAGACACATCTGAGCAAGCACAGGGCAGGGACAGCACCCGGGGGCCAGCACTGAGGTCTTTTCCCACAGGCTTCCTTGGCCTGAAGCCTTCTCTCCATTTGTCACTGCCCAGGGTCAGCGGATTCCCAAACCCGTGGTCTGCAGTGGCACCCTATCAAGCCTGTCCCAAGCAGGCCTGGAGGAGGAAGGGGTCTGAGGCCTTTGCTCAGCAGGGGTGACAAACCCAAAGTCCTAATTAGCCACTTCTGGAGCATCCAAGTAACCTGGATGGAAAGGAAATGTGTTCCCTAATTGGCCCCCTGCAGGGCTGTCAATCAGAGAGGAGCAGCCTCTTCCTCGGCCCATGGCTTTGCCTCTGATCCTGAAGCTGGCTGCCTCCCACCCACCTTCTCCCTGGGCTTGCCCACATCTCCCCTGGGTGGGAGGGAGCCCCCATGCACACTGCATCCAGGGGTCTAGGGTCCTCCATGGGGCCCAGGAGACCCCAACCTGGTGACCACATCCCCAGCCTCGGAGCAAGGCCTCACAACTGCTAGGCTCTGCTGGCAGCACCCATGGGCCCGGCATTGTGTGCTGTGCCCCACCCAGCCCCCTGCAGATGCCACTTACTCCTTCCTGAGTCACGCTCCCTCCTGGACGCCTCTGAACCATCCCTAGAAACCCGTGTGACCCCCACTTCCAGACCCTTTAGACATTGAGCTGGGTTGGAGAGACTCCCCAACTCTCAAATGACCCCATCTTACAGAGAGCTGTGGAAACAGAACCCCTCACACTCACACGCACTATGGCTTGGATGTGGTTTGTCCCCACCCAAACTCATATTGAGGCCTGGTCCCCATTGTAATGGCATTGAGAGGTGGTGGGGATTTAAGAGGTCCTTTGGGTCATGAGAGATCCACCTTCGAAAAAGGACTTAAGTCGTTCTCAAAAGAGTGGGCTGATTATCTCAAGAACAGATTGTTATATATAAACCATCTGTTCCCCTATGTCCTCTCCTCTTTTACTGGATTCCACTTCTCTTCCACTGTCCCCTATGAGCTGATGCAACAGGAAGCCCTCACCAGAAGCTGAGCAGGTACTGGTGCTATGCTCTAGGACTTTCAGGACTGAGTCAAAATAAACCTCTTTGCTTTATAAATTACCCAGTCTTGGGTATTTTGTTATAGAAACGAAATAGACTAATACAAAATCCACCCTTCCCCACAAGGGACACTAGAGAATGGGACAAGGCAGTATGAGGCAGCAGATTAAGACATTGAGACCTACTGTGTACTACTGTCCCACATATAGGATTTAAATAGATGGGACCTATAAAAACTTAAAATGAGCAACAAAGGTACGATAATGGTATATTCATTTCTCATTTTAATTTTTTATAGGTGTCCTCTACATGGGATGCTGGGACATAATGGTTAGTTGGTGATACAACAGGCCTAGACCTTGTCAGGTCCCAGAGTGGGGTCCCTTCATCTCCCTATAACCTGCTGTTCCTCAAGTCTTCAATGGCAACAGACATGTGGACATCTGGGTGACACACCTGAGTGGCAGAGATGAGGCAGATAATGTCTGGAAAGGTAACTACACCAGGCTGTCCTTGACCATTCTGGGCCTTGTGACAAATGGGGTCCTGGGGGCTAATACTGATGGAGAGGGAAGAACCCAGGGAAGGAGGGAGGGAGGGAGTAGGAGGCCGGGCCACCCCTTGGCTGTGTGACTGAGCAAGACCCCTGACCAGCAGGGCCAGTGTCCCCATCTGTAAGCAGAGGCACTGAAGCCCACCATCTCCGACACCAGCTTCATTCTGATAAGTGTGGAAGTCCCATATGGACAAGGAGAGGGCTCAGTCAGGGAACAGAGCATCTCCTGGAACCTGGCCGGGGGTGGGGGCAGGACAGCCCTGGGCTCCCGACTACAAAGGCAGGGTGTCATGTTTGGAAGGTAGAGAGGGTCTGCTTACTGAAGGGGCCAGGAGCCCCCTGGAATATCAGAGGTGAAGGAGGCAGAGTCCTGGAGCAAAACCCAGAACAAAACTTCAAGGACAACAAATCTAGACTGAGTAATAGTCATGTGGGAAAGGGGACCCATTTTGGTTAAAGTCTAATTTTTCCTTCTTTTCCCCTTGAAGAACAGAATAGAAGCTGCAGGTTGCACCTTCCAGAAACCCAACTTCCCCTTCTCCTAATCTCTTCCTCCCAGGGCAGCTGCTCACAGGATCCTTCAAGACCAAACCCCAAATAAACAAATATGACCCTTTCCTCCAGCTGCCCACCAGGTCCCTCCCCCCTCCCACCTCCCTGCCCAGTTCCCCCTGGGCCTGTGCAGACCAAGGAGAGGAGGGACATGGGAGGAGGGGACATGGCCTCCCTGGGACTCACACTGCCCAGGTCTGCTGCTTGGCTAGGAGAAGCTCTGGAAGGGGTCCCCCAAGTCTCCTGCTCACTTGAGGGTTGGGAGGGGCCACCTCGTAGTCCCCAGCTGAGGCTGGAGGCCTGGGACTTAGACACATGTGTCCTGCAGCTGGGGGGGGCTGCGTGGTCTTCTTCCAAAAACCACCTGAAGCCCCTCCTTGTGGCTGTCACCCTGGCTTGGAGACACTATGCTTCCTTTATCTTCAGATGACAGCCAAGTGTATTATCAAAATCCAGGTTGACTTCCCCGGGGGAGTTGGAAGTTTCTGCACAGCCTAGTGATAGCTGTATTTTAAAGGGGCTTTTGGAAATTTACTGGGGACCTCAGAGGGGCCTGGAGTGTCAATGCCCACCACATGGAAACCACTGGATTGATAGGTAAAACCTGTCAGTTGCTCTTGCTTCATCTGAGGGAGGCCAGGCAGTGCAGCCAAGGAGCATGGCTGGATTACTAGGGTCTCGCCCTGGCGTCAGCGTGGGGTGTGTGCGCGCAGGCGTGGGTGTGCTGATCTGTATGTACATACATATGCTCTCACACACACGCATGTAATAAAATGAGAACATTTTAGAAGTTCTCCACATTCCTCATCATTCATCATTTTATGCTAATAAGGTCCTGACCCTTTGTTAGGAAACAAAGTTTACGTGCATATATGAAAATGCCCATAATCCACCCACTATTCTGTGTAACTATAATGCACTAATAAAAAAAAAAATAAAAGTTTAGGGCTGGGGTTGCGGCTCAATGGTAGAGCGCTCGCCTAGCACGTTCGAGGCCCTGGGTTTGATCCTCGGCACTACATAGAAATAAATAAGTAGAATAAAGGTACTGAGTGCAAATACAACTAAAAAATAAATATTATAAAAAAGTCTGAGTCTTGCCACTGGCCCAGCAAGGACCCCTCAGGGTCAGAAAAGGGCTGGACCCTTGGCAATGCAGATTCCCCAGGCTCCTTGCAGATGAGAGGATCTTTCTACACCCACCAGGAGCTCCTACCACTGTCCTGATGCTTGAGGGCCCTGCTGTGAGCCACACAGACTTAAGGGGACTGTCCACAGGATGAATGAGGACATGGAAGATCAGCAAGGACCAGTCTGCAGCCACACAGCCCAGCAGAGAAAGGGCAAAGGCCAGGACCCAGCCTGGGAATCCCAGCCTCAGAGGTTCCCACTGACCTTAACGGCCCTCCACAGGGAGAGGAGGAGAAGCCAGGCCCCTGTGGCCCCTCATGCCCTCTGTCTCCGAGGGCCAAGGTGGTAGAGATGAGCAATGCCTGGGTGTGAGATCCACTGGTCACAGGGATTCCACGACCAACCTGCATCCCAACCCCAGCTCTCCACGGGTCACACGGCCTCACCCCACTTCCCAGGACGGGGCTCTACTCACCATAGTCTTTCTTGCAGTACTTTTTCATGTTAATCTTCAGCTTCCCTTTGGAGGCCTTACAGTAGGAATCGCAGTCTGCAGGAGGGGCAGAGAGCACAGACAAAAACTAATTAGGCTGGCAATGAATAGGCTGGTGGGCCGGGCGGGAGGCCACCTCCCCAAATACCCAGAGGCCTGCGATACCCATGGGCCAGGCCGAGCGGGGCGGCTATTCAGGGCAGGCCTCGCCTTCTAAAGAGGCCCTTGGGACAAAAGGCCCCCGCCTGACCCCCTCCTCCTCTGGCCTGACGAATCCTTTAGCTGCCTTGGCCTCCGTGAGTCTCTCTGGGGGCTCCCGAATCATGCCACCCAGGGCTTCTGAGCACCACACAAATTCCCCCTGTTCTTAAGACGCCACTGGAGCCCTGATTAAAGCCGATAGAGGCCTCATTGTCACCCCGCGCTCTGGGTCTGTGTCAGCCACTGGCTTTCATGGCGCGGAGCCTCTGGCTGGGGTCAGGCCCCAACAAAAGAGGTCACAGAGGAAATTAGCAGCCCATGAAGTATTAGAAAACCCCTTTGGTGTCCACTCCACTGGAGTGTACAAATAAAATGTCCCACGAAGAAGAGTTCAGTTCTAATGGGCCCTACTGCTGAGAGGCAGGGCTGCCGGGCCCGCGTCCGCAGGGTATCACTTCGGGGGCTTCCAGGCCCTGAAACAAGAACCAGGGCCTGCCAGCCATTAGACTCGCTTCTTCTGGCAGAAGACCTTCAACTCCCCAAATGCAGACTCTGTGGCTGGACCCCATCCCAATTTGTGCTCTCCCAGCCTGACATTTCTGCTCTTTGGACAAGATGATGCAGTTCTTTCACTAGGTCTGTGACCTCCTGAGCATGGTGGCCCAGGTCATTGCAGAGGCCCAGGAAACCCGCCCCCCCTTACTGATCTGCCCTTGCCACTCAAGAGAGTGGGCTCTCACTCGATTCCTAGAACCGTTCTTTGATGCATGAGAGATGATGTTATTCCCATTCTGCAGACAAGAAAACTGAGGTCAACGTGGCAGAAAGGGATGATTTGTGTGGAAGTACAGAGCAAAGCCAGGGCAGGAAGTCAGGCCTCAGGACATCTGCTCCCAGCCCGTGGCTAAGATCTGCAGAGAATATTCAGAAATCTCCTTAGAGTCAGTCTCTGGCTCCAATGGAGGCAGTTGTCTCCTCTGAGGTCCCAGGATGCAGTAACTGGTGCCTCAGTTAGCTCAGCTCCATCCACTGCCTCGGGAACCAGGGTCCTGGCAGCCCCTTCTGTCTCCCAGGCCAGTCTCTTGGGGCCCCAAAAGAGGAACCAGTCTCAGGCACTGGAAGAGGAAAAGCCCACCTTGCTGCTCCTCTGCAGTCGGAGCCCTTGAACCCCTCTCAGGACACAGGAGGTCACTGTGTCAGTTTTTCCTGTTAACCAGATGGCTGGTGGGTTCCAGGAACTCTTGGGATGCAGGGACTATGATGTCCAGAGAGTGGCCCTCACTCAACTGTGGCCAATCCCCAGGATGGGGGAGGACAGCAGCCCCAACAAACAAGTCAACAGCACCATCCCCACCACTGTCCACTGCACTTCCAGGTGGGGATCGGCTGTGCTGGGCCACGTCTCTGCCACTCGGGGACAGATGGTGCTCCCAGCAGAGGCACAGTGTGGCTGAACGCAGGGCCGTGCACATTCTAGTGGTTCCAGTGAGCTGGCTCGCTCCCTGCTCCCTCCACTTATGGAAGCCAATTGGAATGCAAGTGGTGTCTAGTAATGTCACTGTAGGGACAGCCTCGAATCCATTCGGTGCCTTTTGTGTTATATTTTTTTTTGTGAAATTTTTTGTGTTGGCCCCCGTCAGTACTCTCATTTCCGGTTGGGAAGAAAGGCTGACACCCTGCCTCTGTGGCCTGGGCCCAGGGAGACCCACCCCTGTGACAGCCTGGGTGGAAAGGGCGCCTCTGAGCGTGTCCCCTCTTCCAGGTCTGGGGTACGGGGGCTTTGTGGGAGGTTGCAGTGCTCAGCTTAAAATGGATAAAGCACAGCTCAGAGAGGTTCCAGGGCAGCCTGCCCAAGGGGAGCCCCGCCCCACGAGGCAGAAGGGAGGCAGACGGGGCCCTGGGACAACCTCCCCCTGGACCTTCAGCATCACTGCCCCCAGCCTAGTAACAGCCATTGAAAGCCCTTCTCTTCAGAGCCAAGCGTCCACCTGGGGCAGAAATCGTCCTAGGATGTGCGACATCCATCATTGCCTAATTCGCTCGAGCTCCCAGAGCCTATGTGCCAAATCCCAGTCATCGCCACACACCTCCAGGGCTGCACTGGATCCCGGCGGCAACACAGGGCAGGAACAGGGCCTTGGCGCTGTTCCCGATGCTTTACAAGCTCTTCTGGCCCCTTCCAGGCAGGTCCCATTTCACAGAGGAGCATCCAGGTCCAGAGATGTTGGGGACCTGCTCCCCCAGGGTCATGTGCCTCGAGAGGCCATCTGCCTCCAGAGCCTGGGATTCTAACCTTTGGTCTCCCATCCTGGCTATGCATGGAATCATCTGGAAGATTTAAACCACCCTGGTGCCTGAGTCTCAGCCCCTAGAGGTTTTGACTTCCTTGGCTCAGGGAATAGCCTGAGTGTCTGGATTTCCAATGCTCTTCGGGCAATTGTGACAGCAGCCAGCATTAGAACCACTCTCTGAATTACCTGCACGGGAAGGGGACAGTCTCTGTACCCACAATGTGCACACAGCACCCGCCTCGGCAGAGGACCCAGAGAGGTGGTTGTGAACTCAAACTCAGAAGATGTCAGTCTCTGAGCATTTGAGCTGTGCTGACCTTTGCTGGGGGCTGGGGTGTCCTTCCTTTCTGTCAATTGCCAGTTCTGGTGACGTCAGGATGCTTGTTGCAAACTGCGCCCTACTCCCTCCAGAGTTGCTGACTCTGATTGAATGGTGAGCTAGGAAAACAAAGACCAAGCTTTCTAGAACTCTGTGTGTAAAGCCCAGGTAAAGAGGCTTGGAAGGAGAGAGAGGCTGAACTGTTCTTTCTCCTTTGGGGAAAGTGAAGAACCTTCCGGAACACAGATGCCGGGGGGGGGGGGGGGGGGGGGG